AAGGAGATTTCATAAAACTATTTATTTTATTATTATGGAAAATGCGGGTGTTACATAATCTTTATTGCTAATGATACATTTTGATCCCGAATCTGTTAAAATTTAAGCTTTATAAATAAATCTTATTCAATTCTTAGATTCATAATTTGCATTTCTTTTAATTTTTTTTTGTAGATGTGAGTTTGATAAACGTAAAAAAAAATAACTTAAATGTCTTTTTCACAAATATAATAATACATAAATATTTAACCAAACATGTTATCTATAAATATTAACACAATAACAATATAAATCTTACACGCTACTTTCTTTATTTTTTAAAAAATATATAATAAATAGGTTTTCATTATACGAAATGTTTAAATTAGAAAATTTTAAAATAAATGTATTAAGAATCTATTAAATTCAAGAAAAAAATATAGAAGGAAAAATGATCCATGAATATTGAATATTGTGAACCAAGTAAAATAGTTATATTTTCGTGAATTGTTTAGATATGGTAACAAATATCTACTTATATTAAAAATTAGTAACAATTGTAACAAAGTAGTGAAAGTTTACATTAAGAATAAACTAAAAATTTCAAAATTTTCATTAAACTGCAAAATATTTTTATATAACCGTTCATTGATTACCCCTTCGTAGGGCGGACCGAACCCTAATATTTCTATATATCTTATAGGATTTTGTGGACACCATTCTGTGGACATTCATATTTCTATAGAGCATTTCGTCTAACACCTTGAAAGTGCTTTTGTGTTTCTATATTTTTGATGTTTTAGTCCATATGCCATTGAAATTGTTTTCTCAATAAACTAATTATCATACACAGTTTGTTTCAAAACTCAAAAAGTGATTACAGAACCCCCCAAACAATGAACAAAACAATCAAAGGAACAAAATAAAGCCAATCCATAAAAGACGAAGCCTTTGTAAACAAGTAGAGACACACTTAAAAAAAATAAAAAATAAAAATAAAAAGAAAGAAAGAGTGAAACACATACTTTCTAACAAAAGAAAAGCAACAATTAAGGTAATTCCTCTGTTCTATCAGGTGACCCTCAACCGCCCCGATTTATGTCAAATTGCTGTAGAAAATCGGTCGTCCGATTTTAATCCGCCTATACCGCCTAAATTACCGCATAGCCATGTAGGCGACCGCCTAATCTATTTTATTTATTTATTTTTAATAATAATATTTTTATCTATTTATTTGATCTAAATTTAATAAATATAACTTATAATAATAATTTTGATGAAAATTATATCATATTAATTTTCTATATTCTATTTGTGTGCTTTATAAGATTCTAAACATGAAAATATATTAATGTTATACACAATTAAAGATTAAAATATTTCATAACATATCAAATAAGCTAAAAATTTCGGCCCGTATAATGCCCGCTTAATCACGATTTTCTCTCTAGCCGCTAGACCCAACTGTGCCGTCCGACTAGCGCCTAGCGCATTCCCGAACATGTAGTAATTCTAAATAGGGGATAAAAGAAGTTTTTTGTTTAGTAAGAATAAAGAAAAATATTGAGAAAAGACAACGATTTGAGTTGTGTATTTAGTTTAGATTTAGTTAGTTTATTTAGAGGATAAAATAGACAAAACATATGAAAAGTATGTCAAAGGAAAGATGTATCTCATAATGTAATTGCATGATCATAATTTTTTTTAAAATGTTAGTTTTTCTAAAAAAATTACATGAAGAGTAGTTTTATTAGTTTTTGAGATGAAAAGTTGTATTTATTGCTTATGTCATTCCATATCCTTTAACATATTTTAAAAGTGTTTTATAATTTTTTTAATACACATCATATTTTCATTGCCTCTTTAACTACTTTTCTCATATCTTTTTATTAATACCTTACATAAATATTTGCAATTGTGTATATCTAAGTCATTGTCTTAATGTGAAAAGTCTCTCTTGAATTTTTACATGAAAATTGTATTTAATAATTTTCTGAGATTAAAATGTGTATCTATTTATTATTTATTTTCATATGTATAATTATATATATAATTATTCTGCTTTATAACATTTTCATTAAATATTTTTTCACAACCATTTGTAATAATTACATACTAAAAACACACAGTTTCACATTAATTAAGATTTCAAATATATTTTTAAGATGAAAAGACATATCTAAATATTTTTCCTCAATAATTTTCAATTACATGATTCAAAAGACATATTTTTTTAACTGATTTTGAAGAGTTATAAGAATGAAAAAGAAACACATTTTTAACATTAAATAAAATTGCTACTATTAATAGATATATAGAGCTTTTAAGCAGTTAAATTAACTTGATAAATGTAATATAGAAAATCAAACCCATTACTCTTCTTCCATCTCTGGTTTCATTAACGACTAGTCTACTTAATTTTTTGAGTGCGTTACGGAATCAAACACATTTGTGTCTTCTTTTACAGGTAGAAACTCATTCTGCTTGAGGATCACTTTTCCTATTTTCAAGACACTATATAGACAATTATGCTTTCAATTAAGCAAAACTAAAAATGAGCTTGATTTGGATTTTTCTTCCTAGTTGCTTTCGTCTCTAACTGATTAGAAAAATGTATAAAGTTTTTTTTTGGGTCAAACGGATTTTACGCTTTTATTTGTTGCTATTTTATATTATAATACACAAACACTGATATATAATATATATATATTATAATTTTTTTCTTTTACGTTTTGATATCCATACGTATATATTTATTTTAATATTATAATTTAAAAAGAAATTAAATTATGTAGATGAGAGATTTGGGGGAAGACGAGTTGACTCAATGATCTGGGGGAAGATGAGTTTGAATTTCAATTGCGTGACCATAGCTCCAGTGACGATGGAGGTTAGTCGCCTGGTGACCATAGCTCAGGTGACCATAGCTTCAGTGACCATAGCTCCGGTGACGAAACTTCAGATATGGGATAAGATGAGTTTGGATTTCAATTGCGTGACTATAGCTCCAGGGACGATGGAGGTTAGTCGCCCGACCTATAGCTCAGGTGACAGCGGCTCCAGAACTTCTCATCAATGTCGTAATTCAAAGACATATTATTTGTGAATAAAAATTCATTTGCGTGACCATAGCTCTGGAGACCATAGCTCCGGTGATGAAATAGTATCGGGTATAAAGAGGTTAAAGAAAATCAGATCGAATTGGGGATCACTTGAAAATTAATGTTCTTAATCTTCATCTCTATGAAGAAGAAAGAAGGAGGATTTTGGGATTTGGTAAAACAGAAGATAAGTTGGACACATTGTTCTGATGAGGTTTGTTATTCTTTAGTTAAGGGGTAAGAAAGTATTTCATTAGCCAAAAAGTGTGTTGCAAGAGTATTGTGTGTCTAGGTGAAAATGGAAACTGATAAAGTGGCTTACAATGTAATTTTCTCTAATTTTTTTTTACCTATAGCATTATTTCATCAGAAAGTTCAGGGATGATCCACGTTACATTAATTGCAAATAACATAAATTAACATAAGATGAATGTTACTGAATCCGCTGGATAACCACAGAATTAAAATAAATATTGAATCTAGGCAAAAACTATGAAGAAGTATTAAAATAACTAGGGTTCTCCGCGCTACGCGCGGATAAGTGGTTAATTTTATTTTATTTAGTATCACTTTTTGGTAATTTTTTCTATTTTAATATTGTGTTTTTTCTTTAATTATTTAAACTTGGTGGTTAAGAAGTGTACCAAACTTTGAATAATAAAAAGAATTCTGTTAAATGACCGCAATTAAAGCAAGAAAGATATACAGTATGTGTTTTGAAGAAGAGGAGATAGATATCCGTGTTCTTAAATGTATGAAAGCAGTACCTTCGAAATAATTAAAATTAAGTTAGTGAACTCAAGTCAAACAGTATCTATACACCTTAATTTATATCCAAAAAATATATACGTTTCATAGTTGCGTTGCGATTATGTGTAAGGGAATCTCTATGTGATTGTAATTTCCCTTTGGCATTGTAAATCTGTTGATTAGATTTATTATGAGAAATTTTATTTTATTTTAGTGATCGGGAGTTGTCACACATTAATTTAAATACCTTTGTGGTGCGGGAGACATTAGAATATTTCTTAGTTGCCTATGTTCTTCAAGTTTAGCTGATGTGAATCCTTGTTTTAATGATTATATGTCTTATGTTAGTATATTTTTAAGTGATTAAATCTTCAATTTAAAATTTTCAATCACTTATAAAGATAGAAATTTAATATTACAATTATATATAGGTTTTCATTAGAACATTCAAGTGAGATGAATGGTTTTTACTTTACTTAAAGTACACAACGTCAGAGTGAGTGGTCATGGTGGACGTAACAAAACGGATCATGGGGCGGAGTTAGATTGTTTTAGTTTTGGTTAGTATGAGAATCAGATGATTATGTGAAACAGAACAGACGTTAAGAGAATGTGCATCGGCTCTGCACGGGTGCGTGGACATGTAAGAAATTAGCCTCAGAAATATGGATTTAGAAAATATATTCACTAAATTACTGTTATTTATGTACCAATTAGTCGTAAGAATTTCTCACACCTGACCCCTATATATTTATGTACCAATTAGTCTTATGGGCAATTGCCGTTCAAAAAAAAAGCCGTTCAAAAAAAAAAAAAAAGTCTTATGGGCAATTCCTGTAGCTATAATTCGAGATTGCATCTATACATAGACATAGACCAAGAAAACGTGTTCTTTTGAAAACATGTTGCCTCTGTTTCTCCTAACAAACTATAACCTGTGTAAAACAACCTGAATCAAGTATTAACTAAGAGAACAAACGAAAACTAAGAGAAACAAAATATGTAGCAACACTAAAAACGATCGCACCACTATGGGAAAAAAGAAAGTAGATGTAAGCTGAAAAAAAAATAGATTTTAACCAAGGTTTTTTAAAACTTGCAAAGACAAAATCCAGGGTAAGAAAGGAAACAAAGCAGAGTCTTTAGTAAGCAACAATAGTTATAAAAACGTTAGCCACTTTTGGCACGCTTGGTCTCTCCTGTTGCAATCCCATCAGAACTCCTCTTCAATGACTCATCTGCAGGATCCTCTTTATCATTGACAGGTCCCTGCTGTACGTTTTCTTCTATGTTGCCATGAGCTTCTTGGTCTTCAAGAGGTAGCACCTTTGTCACAGTGAAAGTCTGGATCTTACCGGTGAAATTGTGTTTGGATACTTTCACGATGAACTTCCTTGTCTGCCCAACGGTATCAATCAGAGCTTGAGGCACCGGAACAATGTGATCAGCGCATACACTTTCATTGGCCTAAGAGACATTTAACAGTTCCCAGAATTCATTTCCAATTATCATGTAAGAATTGCATAGATAAAGAGCTTATAAATTACCTCGTAATAGCTCTCAACCAGCTCAGCCGCTTTCTTTCCAGTCAACTCCTGACCAGCATCACTGAGGAAAACAAAGACAGCTTGGTCTTTCTTGTCATACACAGAGATTTTCGACAGGTACCTGCGAGATCAAACCAACAATTTAATAAGCATAGTTGTCAAACTTTGCATATAATTTAATTAAATCACTCACTGTGCCACTCCAACAATTTCACTCTCCCCACATTTTGTACACATTAGAGTTGTAGGCGCTTTGATCGCCTTTTTATGGCAAACACCACAGCCTATATAATACTATCCGGACCCGTGCACAACATCATCAATAGTTGCTGTGCACTCAAACCAAGAAACCTGGAAAATAGGTGAAATTCACTGAGAAACTTAGACTAAATGACTGATTTTATCGAACAATGGAACTGTAATACCTTAGCATCGCCTTGTTTCGTGTAGGACACAAGTTGCTCTAGGGTAACCGTCTCAACCTTAGTTACCACCTCTGCATTAACTCGGTTTGCAACATCTAAGTTTGAGTTGAACCTGAGAAAATGGGAAACGAAACATTTGAACAATATATTACTTTAAATTATATTTAAATACATGAAATTTTAGGCTTTACCAACTGAGATAGTAATGGGTTTCTTCAACGTCACTGTCGATGAAGACCCGAGAAGGCGTCATAGTACATAGTGATAAGGCGCCTATTACGGAAACAATGTCATAATATTTAGCAAAATTAAATTAAAGTGGAATCAAGAGAATATGTAGGAAAGTATATTAATTTTCCTAATACGAACCTCCAAACCGTTTTGGGTTTAAGGCAGTGACCAAAATAACACTTGCAGTGCTTCCAGATGCCTTGAACTTTGCACTGAAGTCAAAGGCAGCCTTGTCCCATAAGTACAACTTCATCACCGGACCGCTGTGACAACCAAAAAAATGACTCTTAAAAAAAATCATAAAGAATACAGACGAAGCTAGAGAATAGCTTACTCATGTGTCTGTACATGAAGCAGAACACAACGGGTGGAAGTTATCTCTGCTTCATCAAGGAGGAGATTGTCATTGAGAACCTGTCCATTAATAAGCTTGATGTGGCCTACGTAATCTGCAAGACAAACAATCAAAGTCAGTACTTTATAACCTATAAACCAATAGGCGAAACCTAAATATATTATTCTGGATCCAGACATGATCATAGACAACATGTCTTCCTATAATAAATCGAAGAAAAACATCATGCACACTTTACATTAAACCATCTTCCTACACAAACAATGGGAGGGTACAATGTTTGTGAGAACTTACCATATAAATCTCCTTTCAAGTGACAGGCAGCCTCAAATTCTTCGTACCCATGGAACCGGAACTGGTCCTCAGGGAAAGGAACCGAGTTGTCCTCTAGAGCAGAGAGAACGGAGTTCCATGAGAAGGTAATAGTCACATCTAGTTCAGCAACCCGGTACAAATCCTTGTTCTTCGACCCAAAAAAATTAATCAGTTTGTAAATAGCTCCAGTTCTCAAGCGTGGCAAATAAGCCTGAATCCGTCCTTCTGGGATGAACCCCTGGATAACAGTTCCCTGTTAACAACGTTGGAAAGTTTTATTTAGTAAGCTTGATAAAAAGATTAGCATATGAACATAAATAAATAATATATTAACCAGCAACAAAGATTTACGAAACTGTCATTATGGTGCTAACAACAATGGCTAACATCATGTAAAGTGAACCATATATATGTTTCAAAGATCTAGCACAGTAGCTACGGATGAAAGATCTAGTGCAGTAAAAACATCATTCAGCTAAGATCACAGCAGGCATAAACGATGAACCTATGGACTAAGAGATAATCAACACTATTTCGTGGAACAAAGTAACTAATATATTAAAAAAATCTTCGTCAAGCGAAAGCGATGAACAAACTTATAAAATGAGAAGCTGATGATCATGGAATTCGAGATATAAAAAAATAACTTAAAGAACAAACTTTAGTAACGATCTAGTTTTATACCTCTTAGTCGATGAGGAGCATTTCGAGACCCAGCAGCACCTTCGACAGAACTTTCCGAGCCTCCCAATAGTGGAGCAAACGAAACCGTACCTCGCTTTCCTGGGGTCCAAATCTGACGTTTCCGAAGGACATCACTTCGTCAACGTTTTCGGAGACAACGGCTTTCCCTCTGCTGCCGGAGGAGGCAACAACTTTCCCCTTAACGCCGATGGAGAGACCGGAAGACACACCAGGTTTCCCAATGAGTTTCGGCGCCGCTTCGCCTTTTGCTTTCTTCGAGTTGGAATCACCAGATAACGCCATTTTTTCAAGTGAGCTCATCGCCATATATTAATTAGGAGAAATAACAAAATGTTGTTTGGGGTAAGAACTGGAAGAAGAGGGTTATAAAGAAGTTGAGTAGGAGGAAAACGTAACGAATCCATTAATTAGATCAAAGGGAGAAAATAAGTGCAAGAGGGAATTGATTGAGAGTAGATGAGATTGAGGAAACGGGATCGAAGAAGACGAAGAGGTACCAATGTGTATACTAAAGTTAGGGTTTCGACAAAAGGGAGAAGGAGGCTAGCAAAGATCAACGAAATAAGCTTGAGGTGTTGATGTATTGGGTTTAGTGGGCTTGGATTTTAAAAACAAAGCTGATGAATGTAAAAATTTAAGCCCATTTCCGTAAATATCTAAGTGACGTGGATGAATGAAATAAATTGATTGGTTAAATATTTTAACACACGTGGACAGCTTCCCAGGGCTCAATATTCCCCTTTTAATACAAGTTTGATATTAGGATTGATTGGTTGATGATGTATCTTTAGTATTTTTGCTTGAGAAAATTGCTGTGAGTTTTGATTTTAATTATTTTACTATAGATATATTTTCAAACAAATAAATCAAAACGATAAATAAATTGATTTTGGGACCTAACATATTTCATTTCCTAATTTTTTGGATGTAGTTTTTTAATCTTTAAAAGTAAAGCTTCATTGCTTTAAAAAAATTACTTTGAACAAAATGTGGTTGTCCAAAACACTTGCAATACTTACCAATCAACCCTAATATACTTTGAAAATCAAATTTTATCAGCTATTCAGCCCCCACAGCCACCACCGCCACCACAACCACCACTACAACCACCACCATAGCCACCACTACTGCAACCACCTTCGCCACCACCGTTGCTGATGTAGAAGCCGCTGTCATAACAACGAAAACCCCATCATCATCTTGTTGCCCAAGCTATCGTCTACGGAGTATGGAGCGACTTGAACAATATGCTTCAGAATGGTACTGCTTCCACCCCTTGAGCGATCTTTAGGAGAACCGACTGTAAAATGCAAGCCCCTCATTAGCCAGAAGAAACAAAAAGCTCTTTGGTGATCTATCATCTAGTGTTGTTTGGTCTACCACCAGTTTTGTTTTTAACTTTTTTAAAAGAAAACCTTAATGTTTAAAAGATTTTTCTTTTGTAACAAACTCCCGCAATTTTTTTTTTTTAAAACGAATTTCAATAAATGAAATGACAGGGTTTTGTAAGGAAGGTATTACAAAAGCTAGCTTAACCGGAAAAGTTTTATCCTTGCAAGAAAAAAAATAAAAAACAAGTGAGAACCTACAATAACCAAGTATATTATGAAGACTTAGTCGAAAGTGAGCTAAGTTTCTCATTTCTTAATTAATAAATCTTACCATTGTCCACATGAATTCCCCTGGGCTGATGTGTAGGATCACTGACTATCATCTGTCGTTGAACCTGTGGCGGCTCAGCAATCGAAGTTTCTGCTTTTTATTCATGGAAATGCAACAATCACTACAAGAAAACACCGCGATTCCGACGATAATTTTCACCGTATGTCGTTAAAATAAGGGTATTCCGAGAACATACCAACAATTACGGTCGTTGAAAATACAAGTTTCCTCAGAAATTCCACGGAAAATTCCGAGGGAATACTGAGAACCAGAATTTCGAGAGAATACTGAGAATATTTTCCTAGGAAAATTTCGTCGGAATGTCCTTAGAGTTTTCGATGAAACATTCCTCGAAAACATTCCTCAGAATATTCTGAAGACACACACCTTTGGAATATTCCGAGGAACTTGAACCTTCGGAATAATCCGAGGAACTGGAACCATCGGATTATTCCGATGACAATATCCCTCGGAATATTCCGAGGGATATTGTCGTCCAAATATGCCGAGGGACAATATCGTTGGAATATTTCAAGGGCTAGTCTTCCTCGAAATATTCCAAAAATTAATTTTTTTTAGAAAATTATAAATTAATTGCTTTTAAATTGAAATTCGAAAATATAAATAAAAATTGAAATTGAAAACATATTAGATAATATTCAAAGTTTTACAAATAAAGAAAAAACATTCAGAGTTAAAAAAAAAAACAGAAGCTACGGGAACAGCTTGTTCGGGTACATCCTCTTCATCATCTCCATCATTCACTTGTTCTGCCTCCTCATTTCCTCCCATCCCACCTCTTTATCTGCCATCTTGGCCTCCAACGCAGGTATGTGGTCATCCTTGTCCTTCAACTCCTCCATAACCATTGGATCAGGAGGAACCGATTTGGATCGACGACCCAAACCAACCAAACGTCCCTTCTTCTTTGGAACTAACTCAAAGAGAAAAATAAAATTAATAATAGAAAATAAAGAAATAAATGAATTGAACTTTGAAAAAAAAAGATCTTACCGATTCAACAATTTCGTTGATTCGAGTCTGGGATAGGTGGGCCGAAACTGTCGAAGTGGAGTCCAGGTTGGTTTGAAGCTGAGATAGACGGGTCTCTTCGTCTTTCTTCAGAGTTTCGACCAGGTCGACCACCTCCTTCACAAGGCCATCATCAATCTCATCAGTTTGAAGTCATCAACCCTCGCCATCATTTTCTTCCGCCTAGAAAAAACTTAAGTTAAAAAGAAATTTAGAAATTAGAAGAAATGCATAAAATAAAATTAAAATACTTAATTATTGAAAAAAGAGGTTGAACTTACCATGCGATCTTCCAGAGTGGCAATATACTGGGAACCCAAGTTGTGTATGTACATGTCCTTCCCGCCACGTTTGCTGTTGCGGTTGGTGGAGTTGGTCAAGGAGGTGTCTTTCGTCGCGTCCTTTTCCTAATGCACACACAACTCCTGCGAAACCGTGCTGTTGATCGACTTGGGGACCTTTTAATAATAAAAAAATATAAAATAGTTTAATAGATAGAAAATAGTTTAATA